GCTGACACTACATCACTAAGTAATACTACTTATTGTTCTCTCTCTCTCTCTCTCTCTCTCTCTCTCTCTCATATCTATGTTTGTCTTTTAGTTTCAAACAGTTTATGGTTCTTTCAGCTTTCAGTAAAACAAACGTATGGCACAGCACTTGATAGATTTGGTAACCAAAGTTGGGAAAGAGAGAACACATTTTGATCATTAGTCTGATGAGTTCTTGGGATCAAGTGGTTGGTCTAAACAACCATGGTGTTCAAAATGCCATAAGCTTCTTGTGGACGTGATGATGTTGCCCTCCTTGGTGTGTTGATGCAAATGTGGATAGTATTTAACCACACTCTTGTTCAGTTCAAGTAGGTGATTTCTAGGTAAAATGACACTCTTTAGTGCAAATGGTCCTTTGAGGTCAACCATGGAATGAAGATAGCCGGTTAGGGAGAACACTGAGCATGCAAACAATCCTCAAAAGAACCTGCAGTTATATGTCGTCTACAAATCAAGGAGTTTCGTTCGTGTCTTTCTCAATATGAGCGAGAGAAGACGATGTCATCTTGCTCACATGCTTGGGTCCTCAGATCAAAGCTTTGAGGTTTGATCACAACCTATCTCAACTCAGAGGGTATCGCGTTGTGGCACGAAACTAATGAGATTAGGCTAAAGAAGAGAGAGTGCTTCCCCCTCAAATTTGTCCTCTTCTTCGGGAGAGGTTCCCCCTTGGAAGGAATAGAAGGGGACCTTAGGCCCTCTTTCATGGTTTTTCGGGTCATTCTAGTTTGGAGGAGAAATCTTTCGTCGAGGATGGAGGAGAAGGTCAACGGAAATAAACAAACCAACCTTAGGGATGAAGGTGAGAGAAAGACTGCCATCAGGTAATACAACAACAGGAGATGTCTCCTCATATCATAATGCTCCGTATGAACGAGGCACCGGACCCGACGTAGAAAAGTGATGAGTAATCTTTTTCTAGTGCTTGAAAGGGCTGCTATGATTTGGGACGCACTTTGATCTCCCATCCTATCCCGAGGAACCACGACGACATAGTGATGGCGACGTGAGTAAGTGGGACATACGTCAGCACGTGGCTCGTGTTGAACGTTCTTCCCTCATCAATGACTATTTTATTATTCAACACTATATTTGTTTTAATCAAACATTAAATGGCATTTTAATATATATCTACTTTTATTTAGCAAAAAATAATAATAATAAGGGGTTAGGATGCGCTCCATGATAGATGTGGACCCCAACACAGACATAAAGGATTCAAATATGAGAAAAGAGAGAGAAAAGTGGCGCCACCCGAGTCACTCTTTTGTGTCTCCTCTCTCTCTCTCTCTCATTGAGTTACTTGTGGCTTTATGCACGCCAACTGTAGGCGAGAAAGCTCATGTTTCTTCTCCGCTGGGGGCGGGAAAGGCATAGCTCGACACTGCACAAACTGGATGCTGCGGCAACGTCGTCTGGTGCCCAGTCGTGTTGCATAAAGAAAAAGCTAAGTCCTGGTCCCGAAAGAGACACACACAAACGCATGAGAGCTTTGGGACTGCTTTCGTGGAGCACTTCATGTCGAGGACCAGTTGATATGTTTGGAAGAAGACAAAGCATTGCTTTAACCATTGGTGACGGTAGGGTTCACTCTCTACAATAAACAAGACATATGGACTGTCTGTGAACAGCGTTGAATGAAAACGATTCAATCACTACAGCACTGATGCACTGAAATGGTATTTTAATTTGTATTGTTTGATATAATTAATTATCTCTATTGCATAAATAAATGATAATTATATCATGTTCAAATTCACGAGTGAGCGATATACATCATCGAATTGAATGTAATAAAAATATTTTTTATTTTTTAAAAAATAATGATTTATATGTGCATCGAAATCGGTCTAATAATATCAATTAGCACGCTGTAATCCATACTTGTCTCTTTATTTTCTTTTATTTTTTGGCATTTAGTCGACCCAATAAATATCAATTCACTTGTTGTCATAAAGCCATCCAAGTGTTTTCTTGTAAGCAATTTATATGGGGCGTGAAGTACTAGTATCAGCCATATTTTGTTTTTATTGGAAGTGTTTTTACTTTTTTGTTTTTTTCTTGTAAAACTCGAGCTTTACTAGCTATGCGGCACCATGCAAAGGAAAGAATATCCAAGACAATCTCGTTCTCATGTGTTTGCATTCTCATGTGTATGTGACTATTTAGTCCATTTGTTAGAGCATTTTATATCTAATAAAAGTTAGTTGCTTTGTAATGTTTGCGATCCTAATTATCTTATGTTTTTATGCATGACAATAACATATTACTCATGTGTTCGTCTTTCTAGTATTTTCTTCTCCGTGTCGGTCCTTTGTAGACTAAACGAGGTCTACGTAATCCCAATTAAGTACATGATAATGTTCAAATTTGATTTTAAATTTATAAGAATTACTTTAACAAAATTAAGTTTTTATGCTATCATCTCTTCATAAAATTTGATGAAATAGTGATACTTGATCAGATCAATAAATATCGATGAGCATATGTATATTTATGAAAAGATATGATCGACATTCTTTCTTTTTTCACTCTTTGATAAATATTGATAATATAGATTAGGACATACCCTGATTAAAAATTTGTGAACATTATAAAAAAAAAAGGTTTGTCATTTTCATCCGTCGACAAAATCGTCTCTTTCTCTTTTTTCTTTTTTTTTCACTGTTTGGTACTTGATCAGATGGATAAACATCAATCAGTATAATTATAAATTTACAAAAAATATTAAAAAAAAACAAAATTGTCCTTTTTCATACATGCATAAAGAAAGTTTGATGGAATTCTTGATAAGGGTGGACACTCACTCATATCTTTCTTTCTTTTCTTCCCTATGTGGTGCTACTACTTGATCAGATGGATAAATATCAATCAACATGTAACATTCTAATTTTAAATTTATGAACTTTACTAAATAAATAAGTTTGTCCTTTTCATCTTCACCTGTGCATAAAAATTGATAGGAATCTCAATGGGGGTGGACACTCTCCTCTTTCTTTCGTTTCTTCACTGTTTGGTACTTGATCATCCACGTCCACCCGTCTAATTATAAACTTATGAATGTGACTGAAAATTAAGTTTGTCTTGTTCATCTGTTCGTATAATTTGATGGAATCTTATGGGGGTGGAGAGACTGTCTCTTTCTTACCTTTTTCTTCTTTTTCTTGTCACCCTTCTTCTTTTCTTTCCTTCTTCCTTTATTATACTTTCTCGCAGCCTCTCTACTTTGCCTTAAACAGTACCAACAGATGACATCTTCCACATTTAAAGATTGTTAACAGTATGGATTGTCGACGACAATAGCTTCCGCAAAAGACCAAGGACAGTTCACAGCAATCTAAGCAGGAATTGATGTAAAGCTTGTAATCCTGGACCTGTCAATGCATAAAGGACTATTATGTCATCTTCTTTGACAATTTATGTCACGCCAATGGACCAAAGAAAAAGGAGGAAAAAAGGACAACTTTATAAATAATACAACTGGGGAGATATATATATATATATATAATATCCTTTAAAATATTCAGACCTAGCATACATATATTGATACAGAAATATTGGACACCCTAAAAAGACTTGACAAGTAGATGTTGGTGATCAAAATGATAAATATTCGATTTGAAGAATATTTTCCTAACTAAGCTATTCTCTCTTTACTCTCTTTGTTGTATCATTTAATATCAAAGTTAGATTAACTTAGGTGTTAGAGAGTTCTTGTGGAGCAGTGATATTCTTCGAAAATGAGAGCCTTTCATGTCCATGTTCACATCACAACATTGTCTTCGATCATAGTGCATTTAGTAGATAAACAGTAATAAAAGACTATTATTTACTGTAGAATAATTGATTGGCATGTGTTGTGAAAGAAAACCTTCGATTGGGACTAACAATAGCCATATGGACAATTAGGAACTTAGATGCATAAAAAATATAAGGCGTCAATATGATCCAAACATGAAAATGATTTGTGACTTCATCTACTAAATGGAGAGAGAGAGAGAGAGAGAGAGAGATTTAATAAAATTTTATAGAACATTGGTATGATGAAGATACTAGATTTGGTAATCATAATAGTTTAATACTTCATTCGATGAATTAAAGTTTTGAAATCTCAGCTAATAAATTTTATACCTAATATATTAATATAACAGTGATGTCTCAAATCTTCTTAATAAAAATTGAGGATCCAAAATATCATTTAATAAATTTGACTTACTAACAATTGAGGATTTGTAACCCATTAGATATATTTTATGTTTAATATATTGGTAACAGGATAGTGTATCATACACAATTATTAAAAGTTGAGAGTTTGAAATCTCGAGTTTTAGTTTTACGTATATTAGATTTACTTACTAAAGATTAAGTGTCTAAAATATCATCTGATATATTTTATAATCAAAATATATTACTTATGGTGATACACTAAATTTAATATTTAAATTATTTTCAAGAAATTATGTCATTTAGCTTGATTTATAAAACTTTGACTATTGATAATAAAGTTCCAAGATCGAATCTCATATCCATCATTTATCGTTTATGATTTTTTGATAAAATAAATAAATAAAAATTTAAGTACAATCAAATATTGTGCTCCATGAGAGTGAAGAGATCCGGACGACAATCTCACGTTGCATGAGCTAATATATTCATACGTATATATGAAATCAGCAACGTGCGTCACGTTGACCACGTATCCGCTTTTGTCTTGTTGCATGGCCCCTTTCCACGTTCCTTCCCTTATCCCTTTACCTCTCTATTTCTTCCATCACATTCCCCTTTGCCCACAGCACATCTCTCACTCTCTCTCTCTCTCCCTCTCTCTCTCTCTCCATGCTGAAATCGCCCTAAGAGGAAGAAGGAAATCAGCTTAACGTATAGAGGAGAAGAAAGAATGAACTGGCATGAGCAAGGAAACACGAAGGCGGCCATGGAAGAGCTGATAAGGGGGCAGGAGCAGGCAACTCGCCTGCAATCCATGCTGAAAGACATGCTGCCACCGGAGTACCCATCCGGCCCGGCCGCCGACTTGCTCATCGAGGTCTTGAGCTCCTTCTCCAAGGCACTGTCTCTACTGGACCTGGGAAGTTCAGCTGAGGCAAACCCCCCTTCTTCTAATGGTGGCGTGAGGAGGAAGATGCAGTCTCCTCGGAGAGTTAGTTGCAGAGGAAGGTATACATCCTCATCAACTATAATAAATAAGGCTTCACATGCTTGTCGTTGGCTTGAAGGGAATACAATGATTGTGGTTTTCAAGTGTTCTTCTTGTGACAATTTTGATGTCGATGTCATGCATAGTAAAATGATTCTCCTACCTAACTCAATATTTTCAAAGCTGACAAAAAGAAGAAAAATAAGCTTTTTGATCTAACAGCTAAAATATATAGTTTATATTAACTATGAGAGATTATAAGATTGTCTTGAATTAAATAGGAGGTTATTCCTAGACTAGTTATTGGCATTTGGAATTCTTTCTTCTCACTTGTTAGGGTTAATAAGATGCTTGTGTTTGGCTTGCAGACAACATCCATATACATGTAGAACGACATTCTTGAAGACCATTGAGGATGGCTTTACATGGAGAAAGTATGGACAGAAGAATATATATGGTGCCAAGCATCCAAGGTCTTTAATCTCTTTTCCCTTTCTCTCATCTTCCAGTATGTCCTGCTAAAGAACATAGATAGATAGATAGGAATATTATCTTGGTTTTCAATTTTAGACCTCGAAGATTGTTTTGATCTCATGATGATTCTTCGTCTTTCTAATGATTTTATTTCCCTCTGATTCTTTTATATCGTTGGTGTCAGAATATTTTTCCCATTCTTCATGACCTTATGCATGTAGTGGAGTCGAAAATCGATTATATCTTAGAAGACTTTCCTTAAGGAATGTCTAAATTCATTTAAAAACTTCTATTTAATATTCATTATAATTATTATTTATTTATATTTTAATCGGTGTTATATTTATAATATTTTTATTAATATTTTCACAGATAAAGAGTTAGAATTATAATATGGTAATTCAATTTTAGACATCGGAGAATTTAAAAGAACAACTTATCCACCACCAATTGATAAATCATTCCATTAGGTTACTACAAATCCTCCGACCCATGCAAATCGCTTTAGGCTTGACATGTGAAATCTGATGCAAGCCCAAATGAAGAACAATGTTACATAAGTAGACCCATGCAAGTCGATTTAGGCTTGTTTACATGCGAAACACAGTACAAATCCAAATGAAGAATGAATATTACATAAATATATATATTTTATTTTAAATTCAAATCTATGACAAAACGCAATATTCAAATTTAATATCATGATAAATGTTTTTAAGCTTTAACACCAACATCGATTATCAAGTGATGAAGCTGAGTGAGGAGACAACTGCTCAGTACTTGACGAACACTTGCATCCGATGGTTTCATGCAGAAGCTACTACAGATGCATCCACAAGCATGGCCAAGGCTGCCAGGCCACAAGGCAAGTGCAGCGGACCGAGAAGGACGACTCCACCTTCGCCATCACCTACATGGGAGATCACACATGCACCGACGCCACCACGCCGCGCGATCAACCCACACATCACGACATCACTTCCGGATCGAACACCGCCGCGGCCAACGATCGCCGGGCGACTCCTCCCTCGTCCGCCCTTGGGAATCCGAAGCAGGAGTGCGAGGAGGAAGTGATAAGCAACCACTCACCGAGCACTCCTTCCTCCTCGCAGCTTCTCAAGCTACCGGCGCTGTCAGCGCTTGAAGGCTCGTCTCCTCCAATGGCGCAGCTCATGGAAGCTGTTTCGGAGCAGTACTGTAGCTTGGAGATGGAGTTCGATCCTTCCGAATTCAAGCTGGAAGACATGTTTGAACTGAGCCATGATGAGTACAACTGTTAGGGGGAAGAGTAGCAGAATTCTTGTATCTTATCAGATTTCGACCATGCTTATGTACAGTGAATCTTTGTATTCTTCATGATTTCCAATCACTGAGGATGGGAGCTGTCAGTGTTCGAAGATTCGTCTCCTCCAATGGCGAAGCTCATGCAAGCTGTGTCAGAGTAGTACTGTAGCTTGGAGATGGAGTTTGAGCCACTGTCACCATGATGAGTAGTTAGGGAGGGAAAGTAAATTAATTCTGAGATCTTATCAGATAGCTTATGTACAGTATGAATCTATGTATTCTTAGTGATATCTAATCAATGAGGATGGCTTATAATGGTGGCTGTAATGTCACAATAGTTGCAAGGTTAAATGATACCTAGAATCTAAAAGCTTAGACTAATAGATAAGATATAATCTATATCTATTTATCTTCTTAGCACTTCTCCTCTAATATGGGTGGTAGATAGCTCAACCTGACATTTGGACATTAAATTGGGGATATATATATATATACATATATATATATACA